ACATTGAGGTGGCAGAACTTAAGTACACGTCTGCGGATGTTACAATCAGAGTTGTTAAAGATGTCTTTGCCAGACATGGAACTGCAGAGACTGTCGTTACAGATAACAGACCGCAGTTTGCATCAGAGATGTATAAAATGTTTGCAAAAGAATATCACTTTTCACACATCACAAGCAGTCCACGTTACCCTCAAGCTAATGGGGAAGAAGAACGTGCAGTACGGACCATCAAGGACTTGTGAAAGAAAGACAGTGATCACAACAGAGTACTGTTGGCATACAGATCCACACCACTGGAGCATGGGTTCTCACCAGCTCAGTTGTTAATGGGGAGAAACCTGCGTACCCACTTACCTCAACCTACAGTCAAGTTTGATCCCAAGTGGCCAGATCTGAAGGCTTTTCACAAGGCAGACTAGGAGGGGAGGAGAAGTCAGGCAACACATTACAACAGCCGACACCGAACTCGACCTCTCCCTGAACTCACATCAGGACAGAAAGTATGGATCACCACAGAGAAAACAGCTGGTTCAGTTGTTAGACTGGCCCATATGCCGAGATCATATGATGTAGAGACTGACAGGGGCCTTCTGAGGAGAAACAGGAGTCACCTTCGGCCTACAGGAACTGTTACGAGGAGTGTTCAAGTTTCTAATCCACCAGATAGAATGGACTTGTAAACTAAGTTAAAACAACAATGTTCATGACAAAGAAAATGTAACAACACAAGCATATAAGTTCAAAGTTGTATATGTTGAAAATGTGTGTGTTTAATATATTTAAGTTCATGGTAAACAGTAACAGTGTAATGCAGTGAATAAATTGTTGTTAAGGCATTTGACTAGCTAAAAGGAGGAGGTGTAGTAGTAGCGGGACTACTAGTCCCATAATGCATTGYTTCATATATGGCGGTTGTGTATGTACAGGAGCCCGGGGGGTAAACAAGGAATTGAGTAAAGAGCATGGTAGAACGCATGCCATGGTGTCCCGTGTCTTCTTTATACAGTCTGAACCACATCCAGTCTGCGACTTATATCCCCCAGCACCTGAGTCTGTGCGTTTGCAGTACAGGAGATCCTATCCAAGGCCCATGACAGCTTTTCACAGGCCCGGACTGCTGTCAGGATCGTTTTCATTTTCCGATAAACCAGGACTCCTCCACAGCCGATCAGCAGGAATGCGATTATCACAAATCCAAATATAAACACATCTTCGACGTCCTCAATGGAGAGTGAGGCCAGGCAGATCAGATTCCATCCCCACAGGACCCAGAAACTCTGCCCGCTGAGACAGTTCCACTGGGACAGCTGCGCTCCCCTCGCTCCAATCTCAGAGTGGAAAAAATAGTGTCAATTGCGTTCAGAGACCAGCTGACCAGATCCATAATTCTTTWGTTATCGAATGATGGGTAGAAGAAAGGCTTCACCCAGCTGCAAAGCATGGAAAAACAGACAGGTTTGGGAGAGAGAGCAAAAAGCGTCCGACTCCTCTGAAGGCCAAGCAGGAAAAAAAAAAAGAAAATATAATACAAAAATATAATACAATAGAAAATATAATATCTGAATAAACCAGCCTGTCTGACAATATGACTATTTATGTTTATGATGCTCAATCATTCCGTTAGCGTCTGTCATTAGCGAGTCTACATCATATTTTCTGAATTATTATTCAGTCTAGTCAGCAATCCATAAAAGTTCATATTTACATGTTTAATATCAGTAAACAATATATTTAACAACAGATAAAATTGATTTTTAAATAAGGTTAACCATGAACACTGAAGCCCACACAATCCTGAAAAGGAAGAAGCATGTACAGAAAATGGACGGATGGATGGATGGATGGATGGATGGATGGATGAACACTGAAGCTTTTAATGTTAGCATACAGGCTTTACAATTAAAATAATTATTTTTGGTTAAATATGTGTAATATTTACCCATGAAACATAACCCTTTTTAGCTCTTGTAAACATGTAACNTTTTGGTTAAATATGTGTAATATTTACCCATGAAACATAACCCTTTTTAGCTCTTGTAAACATGTAACAATTTCTGCAGTTTATAGCAAAGTATTTGTGACATTTGTACGTTTCTAAAGCGTTTGTTTGCACAATGCTACATTCTGCTAATTGATTTCAATGGTTAGCATTAGCATTAGCTCAATGCATAAAAATCCCCCTTGCAGAGCACATCCAGGTCACATGACGCCCAGTCCAGTAATATAAGTTAGTAACTTTCCTACAAAACAAAAACATTGACATTAAATCTGAGGATATTTCCATCTGCTATACCTTGCCCACCAAATCAGACAAATTCAAACACTTAACCAAAAAAAAAAAAAAAATGCAAATAATGCACGTGAGACAATGTTGTTAAAAAAGCAGAAAAAATAATTGCAACATGGACACGGAATGAAAACATCTGGATCAGAGCAAAAGAAGGATCACAGGCAAAACTGATTAAAGATTTAGAAAGATTTAGGAGGGAATGAGTAACTGAAGTAAATGACTAAAACAMCTGGTGTATAAGGATTTAACAAAATATAAGAACAAATGGACAAACACATTATGATATGACAAATGAAGACTCTGAGTCTAAAATATATGATGTTGAGGATATGATTGATTTAAGTTTTTTCCTGCAATCAAAGACAGTAAATACGTATAACGTAGAACAATTTAATAAAATAACAAAAGCAGGTCTTTCCATCATTCATTTTAACAGTAGGAGTACAAATGCAAATTTATCCAACAGAACAGATTATTTGAAACAATTAACCTGAAAATGAAATATAATAGCACTTTCAGAAACATGGTTAAATGACGACCATACAAGTAGCATTCACAGTCAGGGGTATAATACGTACAGCATCAGTAGAAGCAATAAAAGGGGGTGGAGTGGCTCTTAATTAATAAAGAAATAAAATGTAAAATAAATAATAAAATGCCCTTTAAATTTAGATGATACGGAAATAATAACAATCAAAATAATAAATAAGAATTCTACTAATCTATTAATAAGCTGTGTATATCAATCACCTGGAGTAAATATAGAGACATTCACTGATAAAATTATAGAGTTACTGGAAAAATGTTCTAACAAAACAGTTTAGTTATGTGGAGACTTTAATATTGACCTGGGAAATAAAACAGATTCAAATAAAATTGGTACATTTATAAACTATGCACAGTTTTAATCTTTCTCCATTAATATCAAATGTTTTCACAATATATATATATATATATACATACATATATATACATATACATACATATATATAC